TTGTTTAGCTTGTTATTCGGAGTCTTTAGGAGCCCCCTCCACTTGGAGGGATGCTCTCTTGACCTGAATGTATGGGGGAGAGTCTGGACCCTGCTCAAGATGATGTGACAGACTTTGAATTTCCCCCATGGAGGGCCTCACCCTCCCTGGGGAGTGGAGGAGGTAGGGGTGGAGGGGTCGGTGTTGACCAGGGGAGAAGGGAAATGAGAGGGAGCTGGGATTGACATGTAGAACAGGCTTGTTTCTGATTAAAAAAAAGAGGGGGAGCAAAAAATAAATAAAATAAAGGAACAAGCAACAGGAAACCCAAAGTAAAACTAAGAAACACCAAAAAAAGATGATATACCTATCAAGAAAAATGCAAGCTCGGATTCCTTTAAGCCTCCATGTACCCTATCCACAGTATCAATCATGAGAAATAGACATGAGAGCTTAGGTTGGCATCAGTGTGGGGGAAGGAGGCCATACACTGCTGTGTGAGTGAAAATTAGAGAAGTTCCAGGTGGTGGTGGCACACGCCTTTAATCCTACCACTTGGGAGGAAGAGGCAGGCGGATCTCTGTGAGTTTGAGGCCAGCCTGCTCTACAGATTGAATGCCAGGATAGGCTCCAAAGCTATACAAAGAAATCCTGTCTCAAAAAAAAAAAGCAAAAAGAAAAGAAAACTGTTAATTAACTTTTGAAATGACTGTGTATGTTCTCAAATAATTGAATAATTAAAATGAAAGAAAAAAACAACATACAACTCCTGTGTGACCCAATTACACAACTGATTGCACTACTCCTGTGGGGGGAAAAAGTAATGAACATCTACTTACCAAAGAACAGGAAATGACAAATCAACATTGGAAAAAAAATGAAGTTGAACTTGATGAACCAGTGAGGTTTTATAAAACATGTTTTTTCTTAACATATGTCTGGATGCCATGTGTTTCCGTGTGCCCGATGAGGCAAGAAGAGGCCATTAAATGCACTGGACTTGAGGGTACACATTGAGTGTCCATGTGAGGAGCCTGGGGGAATTGAAAGTGAGTTTTCAGAAAGAGCAGACAGTGCTCTTAACCACTGAGTCATCTCTAAAGTCAAGTGGACCAGTGAATTTTTAGGAGGTCACTTAGGAGAGTGTGTGTAATGGGTTACTCGTAGAAGCACAAGGGACTCAATGACAGCTGCATCACCCAGTGAGGGTGATGGCTAATGAAACTGGGGATCACTGCACAGCTTGCAAGCAGCTCAAGGGAGGTGGGAAGTGTCTTTAAGCCAATTAATACCTCCTCCAGGTAGCTTGTCTTGTCTTGTCTGTCCATGCAGCTTGATTGGTGTCTGCCAAAGGCTGGTCTGAGCATCTTTTGTGCAGTTCAGCATGTCTAATAGTGTCAGCAGACCTTACCGATTATATATGCTTGAGGTAGGAGCACACTAATGAGTTTTGCCAGTTCCCGCAACATCACGAAGCAATTAAGCTATTTCTGAGTTTTAAGAGTTTTTCTGCAGGACTAAATGTATCACCTCCCCTTAAAGTAGTGTCTCTCAACCCTTGTGTCATGATCCCTTTGTGGATCTTATAAGAGGTATCTTGCATGAGATATCTGCAATTCATCACAGTAGTAAAATTACTACTATAAAGTAACAAAATAATTTTACGGATGGGAATCACCACAACATGAGGAACACATTAAATGGTTGCAATGTCAGGATGCTTGAGAACCACTGCCTTACAGCTTCTCATTCCTTTATCTCTCTTTTCATACCCTGTGTTTTAAAGTGAGTCCTCCAAGATGGAAGGATTTACTCTCAGAGGAAACTGATACACAATACCCACTCCTGGGCACCAACTCTAAGGACTTGCCACCTTGCCAATGAGCACTTCCCATAATGATCACAGATGCTCTTTGACAGCATCTAGGAATGGAATCCCATTAGTGTCAATGAACTGAACCATTGGGCAAATAGAAAAGTGACACTCACTTTCACTCTTCAGGTATAAATAAAAGTGAAAGTGTGAAAGCTATGTGTACATGTAGGTGCCTGGAAATTATGATGAATTCACATACGTAGGCCCCAAAAGTTAAATATCACATGTTTTCTCATATATGTGTCTCTAAGGTGCAATCTTTGTTTTGCGTGTTCAAGTAACAGTACATGTGGAAGCCAGGAATGTAGAAATAGTTGATTACTGGTGAGACAGAGGAAGAGAGGATAGATAGTAGCATATAAGTGATATAAAATTAGAGAGGGGGAACCCTGGGGCAGAATCATTTAATATGAAGTAGAGGGGGCAGCTGAAAGATCAACTCAGATGTCTGTGAAGAAGTTACATGGGAACCAAAAAAATTTTGCAACCCAAGTAAAACATACAATAAGAGAGGATGGTAGAATGGTATTTGAGAAAAGAACGAGTCATTGGATAATGTGTGCTAAATGTTTAACTGGGGATGGGACAGGGAGATGGGCTGAAGTGTAGGTGGGTCAACAAAAAGTAAAGACTTGTGAGGAAGCCTTATGAAATCCCCCTATGTTACAAATTAATAATCAATATGATTTTAAAAACTTTGAACAGAGGTGTCCCACAAGAGTAATTAATGCTGCTCCTAGTCATCAGGGACATTTAGTGAAACTCTCCTTACCAGGTCATGGTTATCTGCCTACAACTTACTGGTCAGAGTAGTCCCATTGTCACCCTATACAAAACAGGTCATTGCCAGCGTTTTTGCTTGGCCACCATGCTGAAGACACCAAACACTGTGGTTGTAAGACAGAGAGCACTATTGAACTTCCCAGGCAACTCTCCCTGCTGACCAGTGTTTGTGGCACTGTAAGGTCCCATTCAGGTTGCTTTCAGAGAAATGATGTCAGTGGTCTTACTTACTTATGGAGCATGTATCTTACAATACCAGCCTGCTAGTCAGGATGTTTGTACTGTGGCAAAACTGGCAACACATTTTATGCACATAAACATAGAATTTATGCCATGGTAATGTTGGGGTATCCCGAATTGAGGAGGGGTCCCCAAGCTGGATTCATCACCCCAAGAATCAAGAGTCCATGTGCCAATTGATGCAACACGCAAGAGGCTTTAATTAGGCATCTGCAGATGGGCCTCTCGGTCAGCTTTTAGGCCGATTGGCCCCAAAGTTCAGTTACAATCAGCTTTTAAAGACAAAAGCCACAAGCTTTTGGGAGGGGTCCCTATCTTGTGATGGGGGAAGGGGGTACATGACTCCTGTCCCGGGGAAGTAGATGTCTTCCTGACCTTCATGTTGTAAATTCCTCAAACCTTGGCATGAGTTAATTATCTCTAAGTAAATAGTGTTATCTCCTTGTTTCCCACTAGTCTTGTTTGCCCATCTCTGACGCCCTGGTCAGTTCTTCACAGATGGTCGGCAGCCCGTAATTGGCCTTTTGTGGATTTACAGCCCTTCTGCAATTAAGGTTGCTAAACCATACATTCCATTCTGTGGTATGGCCGGTTCCTGGGATGGGGTCCTTTGTTCACTTCCCAAGTTCTCTAGTGGGGTGCCCTCCCTGTTTAAGCTTATATTTTATTTCTATAAATTCGGGGTCTTTCAGTAAAAACCAAAGGCCAGATGGCTGTGGTGCACACCCTTAATCCCAGTACTCAGAAAGCAGGGCCAGGGAGAGCTCTGTGGGTACAAGGCCAGCCTGGTCTACAGTGAAAGACCTAAGACCGGCTCCATAGCTCTGAGAAACACTGTCTATCTGTTTGCTTTTTGTTTTTTTATGGCAAGATTTCATGGGTGACACTTCTGGCTGTCCTGGAACTCACATGGTAGATGAGGCTGGCCTAGAAATCATACATGCACCTGCTCTGACTCCGGGGTGCTCAGCTTGAAGTCGTGGCCCACCGTGCCCAAGCTGCAAAGCTCAGTCTGCCCTTGAAAAACCAAAAACCAAAGCAAAGCAAAACACACAATTTGGGAACTATGGGTTTTAGAACAGAAACTATTAATGGTTTGATAAAGATGAGTGTTAATCTGGCATCTAAATATTCATGTTTAAAATGATCACTTTGTACTACTCTCAATATTGGTGAAAGAAGTCTCCACTTGCAGTAGGTAGTTGGGAATGAATAGAAACATCATAACTCTTCAAAACCTACTAAGAACAAGCAAGTGTGTAAGATTGGGGAAATTATCATTTGGTGTTGGCTGAGGATGGGTCCTATAAGTCTTTTACCCTAGTGAAAGTGTACAGGCAGTCAATGGAAGCTGCATCTTATGCAGTTTCAAGTAAATTCTTCCCAAGTTTTCTTAAATACATGTAAATGAATTCTTGCATGCATTCAGGGAATGCTGTGTCTTATTGATTTGGTTTTTCTAGACAGGGTTTCTCTTTGTAACCATGACTGACTTGTAATTTGCAGGGTAGACAATGCTGGCCTAGAACTCACAGAGATACCCCTTCCTCTGCCTCCAGAGAGCTGGGACTAAAGGTATGTGTTACCACATTCTTAGCCATTGAGGATTTTTAAGTTTCTATCATAATTCCTGTGATGTCACTTTCACAGCTTATCTCTTCACAGTTGTTTACTTTCTTGCTATTAGTTTGGTTTGACTGTAGTATGAAGAATTTGAAGGTGGATAGAAGAACTTATCAGCATTTTAATGATAAATTTCTTTATCTCTGTAATTTCAGCACTATGTAAAGGAGTTGTCACATTCAATGCATTTGGTGGGCATAATTTTCAATGAGCAGTAGGCATGGGGAGTATATACTCTCTACCTTAATATGGTTTCTGTGAAGTATGAATTTTGAGATATACAGCACATTTAGAGGATAAACTAAAGGTTTTGTAATTTCATGTTATTTATTAGGATTGTTTTTTGACAAAGAGTTTCTGTATTCCTGGCTGTCCTGGAAGTCAGTATGTAGATGGTGATGTCTACCCAGTCTCAGAGATCTTCTTGTCTCTGTGTCCTCAGAGCTGGAAGGGCATGCACCACCACACCTGGGATTATTATGAGTTTTTGGATGTTGAATAAGATCCATGTTTTTTATTACATTTTTTTACCATGGGCTGGAGACATGGCTTAAGGGTGAAGTCACTGGTTGCTCTATCAGAGACTTGGATTCAATTCCCAACATGCATGTCAGTTCACAATTGTCTGTAACTCCAGATTAAGGGGATCTGATGACCCTTCTGGCCTCCACCTGTACCAGGCACACATGTAGTACACAGACATAGTTGCCAGCAAAGCACGTATGCACATTAAAAGAAATGAAAAGCTCTTCCCACTATTATATATGCAGAATTTTATTTTAATATATACTCTAGGAAATCTTTAAAAACAAAAATCTTCATAAAGACTTTCACTAGTTTCTTACCTTTATGTTTCTAGTTTGTTTTATTTAAAAATTTTATTTTTCATCTTACCTAGCAACTCCAGTTACCACTCCCTCACCATCTCCTACCCTCCAACTCCCCATCCCCCACTTACACCACGGAGGAGGGAAGGCCTACCTTGGGGTGTCAACAAAGCCTTTCCCCCTTATATTGAGGCTAAGCAAGGTATCTCACCTTGAAAGGTATTCCATAGGGAATGGGACCGTAAAAGACAATTCATGAATCTGGGATAGGTGCTGGTCTCACTACCAGACCTGTCCCTCTCAACAGATCAGGCCACATAACTGTCACCTATATTCAGAGGGCCTAGTTTAGTCCCTTGCAGTTCCCCAGCTGTCAGTCATAGTCTGGGAACTCCTACTAAGCTCAGGTCAGCTGTCTGTGGGGTTTTCTCCATCATCATCTTGACCCAACCCCTTGATCATATTATCCCTCCTCCTTCTCATCAACTGAATTCCAGTGGCTCAGTCCAGTGCTTGGCTGTGGCTCACTTCATCTGCTTCCATCAGTTACTGGATGTATGTTCTATGATGACATTTAGGGTAGTCACTGATCTGATTAAGGGGAAGGCCCTTTCAGACATCCTCTCCACTATTGGGGTCACCTATGTGGATTCTTGAGAATTTCTCAAGCTCAAGCATTCTCTCTAAACCCACACTGGCTCCCTCTACGAAGATACTCTTTCATTGATCTTACCCAGTATTTTGTAAACTGTTGCGATTTGTAAGCACACAGTAATGGAAAATGCTATATCCCATTATTTAAACAGTTTCTCTCCAGTATGATTTTTCTAGTGTCTCCTAAGATTGGAAATCTGTATAAAGGATGGTTTCTCTTCATTATGGATGTTCTGATGTTTCCATCAAGCAGAAGAGTGGACAAAGGATTTGTCACATTCCTAACATCTGTAAAGTCTGCATCCAGTATGAACTTTTGCATGTCTTCTAAGATTTAAGTCCCGGATAAAGGACTTGGCACATTCCATACATTTGTAGGTTTTTTGGTTTTGTTTTGTTTTGTTTTTGTTTTTGTTTTTACGAGACAAGGTTTCTCTGTGTTGTTTTGGAGGCTGTCGGTCCAGCCTAGCCTCGAACTCACAGAGATCCGCCTGCCTCTGCCTCCCGAGTGCTGGGATTAAAGGCATGCACCACCACCGCCCCGCGCATTTGTAGGGTTTTACCCCAGCATGAACACTGTGAGTCCTTCCAAGATTTGAGCAACTGGATAAGGATTTCTTACATTCCATACAACTGTAAGGTCAATTCTCCAGTATGCACCATCTGATGTCTTCTAAGACCTCAGATATAGGATATGTCACAATTTTACCACATGTCAAGTATCTCCCCAGTATGAAGTTTCTGATGTCTCCTTAAACGATAAGATCGGGAAAAAAAATTGTCACAAACCTGACAACTATAGGGCCTCTCTCCAGTATGCACTCTCTGATGTGTTCTAAGATGTGAGACCTGTGTAAAGGACTTGTCACATTCCATACATCTGTAAGGTCTCTCTCCAGTATGAACTCTCCGATGTTTTCTAAGAGTTGCAAAATCAGTAAAGGATTTATCACAATCTATACATTTAGCAAGTTTCTCTCCAGTATGAATTCTCTGATGTATTCTAAGATTTGAGCAGCTAGTATAAGATTTGTCACATTCCTTACATGTGTAAAGTTTCTCTTCAGTGTGAACACTTTGATGTCTTCTAAGTTCTGAATTCCAGGTAAAGGACTTGTCACATACTTCACATTTGTGAGGTTTCTCCCTAGAATGAACTTTTTGATGTCTTCTAAGAGTTGCCTCATCGACAAAGAATTTGTCACATACCTCACATTTGTAAGGTTTCTCCTGTGTATGAAGTTTCTGATGTACTCTAAGGATTGAATTCGAGGTGAAGGATTTGTTGCATTCCTCACATTTGTAAGGTTTCTCCTGTGTATGAACTTTCTGATGTCTTCTAAGGATTGAATTCGAGGTAAATGATTTGTCACATACCTCACATTTATAAGGCTTTTCACCAGCATGAATTCTGTAATGAAGTTTAAGGTGTGGTAATTGGAGAAAGCACTTACCACAGTCTTTGCATTTGTGAAACTCCTCTAGAGAATGAGTTTTCCTATGCATCCTCAATGATGAATAGTGGGGAAAGGATCTGTCACACTCATTGCACTTGTAAGGCTTCTCTCCACTATGACTTTTCTGATGGCTATGAATTCCTGCCAAGAACCGAAATGACTTTCCACATTCTCTGCACTTGTAAGGTTTCTCCCCAGTATGAATTCTTTGATGTGTTTTACAGTTTGAAAGTTGCGTGAAGGATTTTTCACAAACGTTGCATTTGTAGGGTTTAATTCCAGTATGAATTTTCTTATGTACACTGAGGCTTGAGGCACGACTGAAGCATTTCCCGCATGTGCCACACTGGAGTCGTTTCTCTCCAGTATTGATTGGTTGTTGTGAAGGTCTGTATGCAGAGCTGAGACAGTCATCATATTCTCCCTGCCTGTGCTCTTTCTCTGCAGTGTAGACTCTCTGATCTTGAATGATGTTGGAACACAAATTTACAGATTTCTCACAGTCTTGAGATTGGCAAGGTTCTTCTCCAGTGCGCATGCTTTCATGTCTGTCTGGGTTTGATGAGTCAACAGAGGCATCCCTGTGACTACTGCATGTGTAGTCATTAGAGTTTTCTGGAGTTTCACTTGTTCTATGAAGTGCACATGTGGAGGGGTCATGAAGCACTTTGTCAAGCTCATCACACTGACAAGACTCCTTTTCAGTCTTCACATGGTGATGGACAGGATCACACTTGCAATAGTTCTCTGAAAATGAGTACACTTCAGATTAATACAGCTTGTTCCAATAATAAACATGACAGTCTCCCTAAGTTCTCATTTATCACAAGTGAACCTGGAACTATTGAGATTACAGATCCCAGTAACGGACAATTTTCATTCACTGCAATTGTATGGATTCTCACAAACACAGCATGGTAGCCTTCAGAGGTCAGTGAGTTATAACAGATATCTTTCTCAAAAATATCTAAGTAGAAAAAGATGGAAAAATAACTGATGGTCATAAATTAGCTTTCTGTTAGAGCTCACTAAGTGATTATATTTGGAATACATTTCTCTATCTTTAAATTTTCTTCTCAGAAATTGAAAAAGAGGAATTTAATCCAATCACAGGTTCACATTATTTATACTAAGTGATAGGCAATAAAGACTACCATTCAGAAAACCTAATTCCTGTAAAGATTAAAGTCTTACTCAAAAGCATCACAGGCTTATTTCTTTCTCTATAAAAAAATCCCATCAGCTTCTGGAAAAGTAATGGATGCAAATGCAGTATGATGTCAGACATCACAGGCTCCACCTGGATTGAGGCAGGGATGTCATGGGCAGCTTTTGCTTATTTCTTTCCTCCCCTGTCTGACCTAAACACGCTGTGTTCTTAACTTTCCTCATATGGTTGTTCCCAGATCCCCTCTGTACATTGACTCCTGGGACTAATTCCCAAAAGTGTGCCTGTGTATTTGCCACTGGCAAAAAGGAAGGTAAAATATGAAGGTATGTATACAGGGAAGGCAATTAAAGAATAAGCATACTTCATGACTAATGTTAGACTTAAAATTTTGCAAAATATCCCAATCCTACTTCAGATTAATCAAAGAAAACTGAATTTTCTACTAGTATTAAGTCATCATGATTCAGGTGTAATAAGACAATGCCTTCTAACAGTTACAACAGACAGGTTGCATCTGTGGGCCAGGACAGTACACTTAGTTAAAAGATCAGGAGTAATTTTAAGTGGAATTGAACATCACAGAAACATTCTCAGCTTTGGCTTTCTCCATCACTTGAAGTCTTCACTGTTGTCCTGCTCATTTACTAGTCCACCCTAGCTGTGGTTCTCTCTCCTCTCCAAATTCCAGGGCAATCTCATTCTTTCCAGATAGGTGATCATGCCTGCCTTGATACAATAATCCATGTGTTCTTTGAGACAGCAATGAGCCAGGACTGAACTTTTAGAAAGAATACAGAAGTCTACGACTGTACTGGGCTCAGTACATGAAAACAGAAAGCAGAGGGTTTTTTTCTTGTTTTTGTTTTTTTGTTTTGTTTTGTTTTGGTTTTTGGTTTTTTGAGACAGGGTTTCTCTGTGGCTTTGGAAGCTGTCTTGTAACTAGCTCTTGTAGACCAGGCTGGTCTCGAACTCACAGAGATCTTCCTGCCTCTTCCTCCCGAGTGCTGGGATTTAAGGAGTGCGCCACCACTGCCTGGCTAAAAGCAGAGGAATTTAAACAGGATTGTCCCAGTGATACTTCTTAACAAATTCTTCAGTATATTTTGCATTTCCAGCTTGTATATCTTGAATTTTTCTCACAATTAAAAACATGTCTATTGCAATAAAGGACAAGGAGCTTTAAGATATGAGTGGAAACATTATTTGCTGCTGAGTCTGCGGAAGAACCTTGGAGCCAAAATGAAGGATGGATGACAGCGCTAAAAATGGAAATTGAAAGAGGAAAGTAAATAGCATGAAAATGTCCTTTCCTACTGCTATACTTTGCCTTGTCTACTATTAGTTTTCACAGGATAGCTTCACAGATTCTACTGCCTATGAAGTGACAACAAACAAAAGACGGGTTAGGAATTATAGAAGCAAAATGTTCTCACCCACAAAGACCAGGTTGTTGTAATTCTCCAACATCACATCAACGTACAAAGTCCTCTGAGCAGAGTCCAGGCATTCCCACTCCTCTTTTGAGAAGTTCACAGTCACATCCCTGAATGTCATCAGAACCTGCAACAAAAAAGGATGGGTTGACCAAGCTTTAACTAATAGAGCTTTCCTGGCTAAAAGGAGACACAATACAAAAAAAAAAAAAAAAAGGAGACTCCTAATACAATCATATTCTATCATGAACATTCTATATCTGTGTAAACACATTGACACAAGAGTCTCCCAAGCAGTATACATGAAACAAGAAATACATTTATGATCTGGACATGGTTATATATTCATGAGGATATATACTTTAAATGCTGTGCCTGGCCAGTGCCCTTGCGGGACCACCTGAGGCTTGGGGACTGTACACTGTGAATCCCATCACTACAGGGTCCAGCCTGCCCCACAGACTTCCAGAGTCTAGTCCATTTCTCCCCACAAAGGACAGGCAATGTAAGCATGGGACTGTGTCAGGCCCACCTTCCTGTGTCCTGCACCAAACCAGCTGAGGCCTGGGAACTGAGCACTGTGGGTCACATTTCAGCTGGATTTAACCCTCCCAGAGACTGCCAGCATCCTAGTCCCTTTTGGCACCCAAATGACTAGGTAACCATGGGCCAGTTTCAGGAGCACTTTCTAGTGACCTACTTGGAGCAAGCTGAGGCCTGGGTACTGTGTGTGCACTGTGGATCCAAACACAAAAGAATATACCTTCTTCTCAGCTCCACATGGGACCTTCTCTAAAATCAACCACATAGCAAAACCTATCGGAAACATAGCAAACCTCCACAGATACAAAAAAAAGTGGAATAACCCCCTGTATCTTATCAGACTACCATCCTTTAAAATCAGAATTCAACAACAACTCAAATCACAGAAATCATACAAACTCATATGATAGGAAATGTGATTCTATAAATGTCTCTCTTATTGGTTGTTGAATAAAGCACTGTTGGCCAATAGGGAAACAAGATAGGTGGGACTAGGAGTCTAGGAGGATTCTGGGAAATGTAGTGAAGGGAGTCATGGAGATGTGATCCCTGGAGGAGAGAATGCAAGTCTGGTGTTCTTGGAAAGATAAGTCTGTGTGTGTGTGTGTGTGTGTGTGTGTGTGTGTGTGTGTGTGTGTGTTGGTGATTATTGGTCAATGATTAAGTCAGAGCTAGTGGATTAGAAACCATAGTAAACAGCCAACAGCTTCATAATTAATATAGTGTCTTGTGTATTATTTGGGGGCTGCAACTATGGCAGGGCCCAGGCGGCTGGCAGGGAAGACTACATGTTACACTCATGGACATTGAACAATGTGTAATTGCACCATCTCTGGGTCAAGGAAGAAATAAAAAAGAAATTAAAGACTTCCTGGAATTCAATGGGAGTGAAGACACCACATACTCAAACTTATGGGAAAACTCTGAAACCAGTGCTGAGAGGAAAGTTTACAGCACTAAGTGCCCACATGAAGAGAATTAACAGCACAACTGAAAACTCTAGAACAAAAATAAGCAAACTCACCCAGGAGGAGTAGATGCAAGGAAATAATCAAATTGAGGGTTGAAATCAATAAAGCAGAAACCAGGAAAACATTGTAAAGAATCAATGAAACAAAGATCTGGTTCTTTGAGAAAAATCAACAAGATAGATAAACCTTTATCCAAACTAACCAAAAGTCAAAGACAGAGCATGCTAATTAACAAAATCAGAAATGAAAAGGGGGACATAACAACGGAAACTGAGGAAATCCAGAGAATCATCAGGTCACACATTGACAACCTGTACTCCACAAAATGGAAAATTTAAAGGAAATGGAAAAATTTTTTGGGTAGATATGACTTAGCAAAATTAAATCAATATTTAAACAGACCTATAACCCCTAATGAAATAGAAACAGTTATCAAAATCTCCCAACCAAAAAGAGCCCAGGGCCAGATGGATTCAGCGCAGAATTCTACCAGAAACTCAAAGAAGAGCTAATACCATTATTCCTCAAACTGTTCCATGCAATAGAAGCAGAAGTGGCATTGCCAAACTCTTTTTGTGAGGCTGCAATTACCTTGGTACCCAAGCTCCACAAAGACACAACTAAGAAAGAGAACTACAGACCAATATCCATCATGAACATTGATGCTAATGGAAGCAGAAGCAAACACCCACAGCTAAACACTGAGCTGAACTCTGGAGTCCAGTTGCAGACAGGGAGGAATGATGAGCAAAGGGGTCAAGACCAGGCTGGCGAAATCCACAGAAACAGCTGAGCTGAACAAGGAGTTGCTCATGGACCCCAGACTGATAGCTGGGAAACCAGTATAGGACTGTTCCAGACCTCCTAAACAAGGATGTCAGTTTGGAGATCTGGTTAATCTATGTGGTCTCTGGTAGTGGATCAGTATTTATCCCTAGTATTTATTCCTAGTACAGGAATGGACTTAGGAGCCCTAGACTTTGGGTCTAGGCCCTGCTCCAAATGATATGACAGTCTTTGAAGATGCCCCATGGAAGGCTTCACCCTCCCTGGGGAGCAGAAAGAGGAAGGGATAATGGGTTGGTAGAGGGGCAGGGGAGGAGGGGAGGGAGAGGGAACTGGGATTGACATGTAAAAGAAGCTTGTTGCTAATTTAAATTAAAAAATGGGGGAAAAGAAATGATTAAAATATCTTAACAAGTTGAATTAAAAAATGTTCTACCTGTACATCATGCTAAAACACTTACACTGAATTAATCCTATGGGTACTTGGGCCTTACATGACTCTATTCTAACAGGTTCAGTTGGGTTGTTTAAACTCTAGGTACAATGGCCCACGGTTAAGTAGCAAATGAGTAGGCATGGAAGACAGAATATAGGACTGATTTCATAGGCAAAGAGTTTTGTTGTTTGTTTTTGTTTTTGTTTTTTGGAGTAGCAGGGATTGTAATAGCACTACATACTGTCAATTTTAACATTGACATATAAAATAAGTAGTATATGGAATTAATTTTATGAGAATACTTGGGCCACCATGAACACGTAGTAAAATCAGCAGCAGCAATATTTGACATAATCCAAAATTTTCCTAAGAATATGCCTAAGACAATAGAGACAAATAGCAGTTTCAGCACTTTTGAAGATTATTCACTTCACTCCCAAAGAAGAATAAAAATCGAGGGAAGTCAAATTTTATTGACACTGTTATCAATTGTTCTGAAGAAAGTTTTCTCCTGCCTACATTAGGATAATCTTGAGAAGATTTTTGCCAGTGAAACGCTCCAGAATTCTTTCTAGTGAAACAGGATGTGGTCAAACTGATTTCCTGTCCCATTTCCACATCACCTGACCCCTTCCCATCCCTTCACCAACCCCTCCCCCACACCTGCATCCTTAGTGTCTGTCTCCTCTCTCCTTCCAGGACCCTTTGTTCTGCTGCACAGGTGAGCAGGTCTGGGTGGTCAGTGAGCCCTGCACATGAGAAAGAGATTGTTCAGGAAGCCCCTGGATTTCTCACACATTGCTGTGCTCTGTAGATGAAGAGAACACTAAATACAGGATTACACAAATGATGCCCTAACTGTCGTGCAATGTCAAAATACTGGTAATATTTAGAAAGCAATTTTACTTAGCATCTCTTGAATCCCACGTCCAATCACAGCTCAGGCAAAACACAGGGGTAGAAATAAACTAATGACTGAGCAGAGAGTATCTTACACTAGTGATGTTCTGAGTTGCTCATGGACCAATAATGATGGAACCTTACATCCCCCATGGGGACATAAGAAGAGGGAAGAACATTTCATGAAAATTTCCTTTTTTGCCTTTGAGGATTTCACCTTATTCTGCAGGATGTGAGACTCATTCACACAAAGCTCACACACTTGCAGATTAGTTTGTTATGAATCGCTGAGGTGCAGCACGGGAGACTGTAAGTGAACAGCACTCAGTCACAGAAACCACACTGATGCAACTCTACAATGTCAGGCTGCACCATGTCTGTGTGGCAGTTGGAGTATGAAGGCACTGGAAGACAAAGATCTAAGGTCTATGTGGCAGCAGGAAGACCCTACCTCTCTGATGAACTAAACCCAGGAAGTGCCATGCAAAGGTATATTTATTGAAAGTTACACAAAGTATTTCCTCATACAAAGTTCCTCATATAATTTATGTTTCTTACTAAAGCAGAGCATCATATACCCCCAAGGCTTCAGTCCTTTGTTATGTATTGTTTGTAATACACAATAATACAAGACCAAAGTCATGGAAGGGCTACAATGTCCCTTCCATCAAGCAATTCTACAGATCATGTGAAACAACCACTGTTTTACACACAGAGTGTTCAAGGTCAAAGAACTTCTAAAATACCTATTGTTCAATCTAATGTCTACCCCGATTCAGTGACTCTGCCCAGTTCCTATAACACTGCAACATCCAGGTTCTGTACAAAGCCCTCAGGGAAGAGTACAGGCATAGACACTCCTGGGAGAAATCAACAGTCACATACCACTTGACTTTCAACAGACCACAAAAGAAAAACCAGCAGTTAGAATGGTCCTGTGGGTGCACACCTTTAATCCTAGCACTTGGGAGAAACAGGTGTGTGGAACTCTGTGTTTTAGGGTCTAGCCTGGTCTACCAGGTGAGTTCTGAGCCAGACAGACCAACACTGTAAGTTCAGGTCTCAAACACATCAAACACCAGACTCAAAAGTAAGTTTGGTCATGTGTCCATGGACAGAGAGCTTTTCTTGGACCAAGGAGACAAAAGATTCTTGCAGACATATTTTTGATACACATGAGTTATCATAAGTATTCAAAAGATGCTTTCTAATATTATTCTAAATTATGATGCATTCAAATATCTTTTTTTCCTTTTCTATTTTCCAGTGAAACAGGGTTTTATTCTGTGTAGTGTTACGTTGTGCCAGGTTCATGGAGCCCAGAGACTAACCCAAGGAGTCAACACTCTGATGCAAAAGCAAAAGGTTTCATTGATCGTTCAGCTGGCCAGCTGGATCTCTTTTCATGGTGGAGGAAATGAGATGCCCACCAGCCAAAAAGAGAAGTTTTTAAAGGGGTAGACCATAAGGCTGAAGGCCACAAATTTCAGTTTCCATGGTTACTTAAGGTCATACAAAGTACAGAGTAAAACAGTAACTATATATTTTAAGCAAGATACATTTGAGTAAGACAAGACAGGGCATGAGGTTGCAGGGCTACAGGGGTCACAGAGTCTGTCTTT